CCCCGAGTACGTCCCTCTTCCAGCTGGGTAAGCCGATTGGCGGTCTAAAGTGCTGAAGGATGGAGTCACCCTGTGCCAGGCATTCCAGCATGGCAATTGCAAGGCGACCAAGTGTCAGCAGGGGGCTCACCGCTGCGGCCTTGTGACCAGGGGGGAGCGCGTCTGTGGGGGCAGCAACCACGGAGCGTCCACCTGTCGCGCTGGGAAGAAGGGGAAAGGCTCCTGATGGGGCCCGGAGGATGATGTGGCATCCTCTGGGTCCGCTGCGGTAGCGCTGCCTGGTGGCGAGCCACCTTTGATGGCTGACCTCATGTGTGGGCCGAATCTCCCGTTGACTAAAGCCTTCCTGTGGTGTGGATGGCGCACCGTCTCCGTGGACTGGCTCCTGGACCCCGCCCATGACCTGTCTAACCCCCTGAGGCAAAAGTCGTTGGCAGGCCAGCTCGAGGAGACCGACTTCATTGCGGCCGCGATGGACTGTTCCACCAAGTCGCGGGCGAGGGAGATTCCGCGGAAGTTCAACGACGGGCGACCAGCACCCCAGCCCCTCCGGTCAGCAGACCAGCCCCTGGGGTTACCAGGGCTGGCAATCAAGGACCAGGCTCGGGTGGACACAGACAACGCGGCATGTGGCTGGATGCTCACACAGCTCCAGAAGCACGCCGAAGGAGGGGGGGCCTCCGTGCGGGAGAACCCATGGAGGAGCTTGCACTGGTACCTCCCCCAGGAGCAGGCGATGATGGAGTCCGGACTGTGGAAGGACACGCAATATTCCGCATGCGTGTTTGCGGGAGCCAGGAGCAAACTCCAGTGCCTCAGACACAACGTCCAGGAGATCGAGGAGTGGCCGCCTTTGATGTGCCACCATACCCACCACCCCCGAGAGTGGGAGCCACAGGAGAGTTCCGATGGCAGGTGGTACCCGTCCAAGGCCGAGGCGGAGTACACGGCAGCGCTGGCGTTCAGCATCGCGGTGGCGGCTTCGTGGTGGGCTGCCAGGGTCGGCAAGGCACGCCTGACGGTCCCGCAGATGCCAGCGATTGAGACGGTAGGTCGCCGGGAGCACTGGTTGGAGTTCGATGGACGGGCTCTACGCGAATGGGCCATGGCACCGATGGCGGTGAGCCTCGGGCTCAAGCCGCCCGCGCTGGCATCGGGCGCCACGGTGCCTCGGCGAGTGGTGATCCTTGAGGTGCTGTACGAAGATGGTACCCTACCCGAGGACGTGGTCTACGTTGGACGAGGGCATCACAGCCATCGAGTCCCTACGTCCGACTGGAGATGCCCGTGGGTGCCGGGACACGATTGCTCGTGGGACGAGTGGATCCCACGTTTCGTGCAGTATGTCCACCAGTCAGGCCTGAATGAGCGATTGCCAGAGCTGATGGGCAAGAGGCTGGCCTGTGATTGCAGCTTTGAGGAGGTGTGCGAGGCTGACATTTTGGCCGGCTTGGTTTTTGAGGAGTGTGTCCAGCAGTCGGCCGCACAGCCAGCACGGCGGAAGAACCGACGAGTGCCACGACGAGGAGTCCTGCTGGCATGGGGCGGTTTGCCAGGAGTGGATGCCAGAGCGGTGCCGTGGAGGCGTTGGACGCAAGAGGCAGTGGTGAACTGCTTCTTGGGTCTCTTTCCTGAGCCCTGGTTCACGGGCTTCCGCTTCCCCATGATTGAGGACCTTATCAACCAGTCTCCTTTCATCGACTATGCGGAGTGGCGGAACGGGCAGCATCTGGATTGGGATGGTCCCCTGGGCCCTGCCACGGCCCCGGCGGGGGTCCGCATCCGGTCGCGCACAGCGGAGGGGCAGCAAGCGGGTGCGTTGAGCCACAAGGCAGCCCTGCCCCCGCTGATCTCCGGTGTACCCAATCCGGACGACCACTTCGCTGCGTGCGGCCTTGGCTATGAAGATGACGCCAACCCCACTGGAGCAGGAAGCAGTTATGGATGAGGATTTGCAGTTTGTGGCTTCCGTCATGGCGGCACGCAGGGGGGACCTGCGCCAGATGCGACGTGGAGCCATCGGGGCCGTCAAGGAGCTGAAGCAGAGATGGAAGCGAGTGGATGATCAGTTGAGGCAATTCCAGGCACCAGCCCTCCAAGCAGTGACAGCACAAAGGGACATTGGCTTGCTGGGCCTGTTGGTGATATTGCTGGCGTGGCCCGACGTATCATACCCCCATGGCCTGGTGGTGGGCCTGCCAGCAGTCGGCTATGCCCCCCACTACGGCGTGTTCCCCCAGCAAGACGCGCGGAGGATCACCTTTGAGGAGGTCCTGGATGGGGCAGGCGAGAACAACCGGCTCGTGCTAGCTAGTTTGCGCCCGGGCAAGGATGATGCCTTCTTGCTGGAGCAGTCGCAGAAGGACGCTGAGCGGGGGTTTTGCACAGCCCCGATGGCCCTGTCCGAGCTGCAGCGGGAGCTCAAAAGGGCAGGAGTTCCGACTCATACCCAGGTGTGTCATCACACAGTCCTCAGGCAAACAGCGTGTGATCGACAACGCAGACACAGGGGGTCAATCCCTCCGTTCATCGGACGCCAATAAATTAGTCCTCTGTTCACCGTTGCGACCAGCCCAGCACATTGCAGCGGTGATGCAGCGCATGGATGAGAGCCAACTTCGCTCGGCCCGCAAGGGTGACTCGTGGCAGTCCGGCGGGAGGATTGGCCAGATGCCTATCGCCACTCTCCTATGAGCAGTGAGGAGGCCAGGGGTTGCATCGTTTGTTTTTGGCATCAGGGCTGGGGGGCGCCTGCGTTTCAGCGGTACGCAGGGCTGCTCTTTGGCCTGCCGTTGGCCGTGACCAGTTTCAATCGGTACTCCAGGCTGGCGGAAGCGCTGGCCAGACGACTGTTGGCCCTTCTGGTTTCGTTCTACTTCGATGACGCCCACATCACGGATTGGCGATCGGCCGGTGGTTCCGGCCAGTGGGCACTGGAAGAGCTGAACCGGCTGCTGGGCACGCCATTCTCCGAGGACAAGAAGCAGCCTATGGCAGCCCAAGGGCTCTTTTTGGGGCTTGACCACGACCTATCTCAGGCGCTGCACGACGGCGTGGTGTCTTTCTGGGCTCGGGAGCGGCTGCACGAGAAGATGTCCGGGATGATCCAGAAGGTCAGGAACGAGGGGAGACTCGCACCTGGCCTCGCGGCCAAGATCGGCTAACTTCTTGGAGATGGGAGTCTATGGCCGCGTGGGATGCGGCGGATTGGGCTCCATCAAGACGCGGCAGGCTGAGAGATCATCTGAGCTGACTGAGCCTATCAAGGCGAGCCTTGAGTTGCTAGAAGCAGTTTTCGCTACCCAGCCACGCCGAGTGCTTCAGGTTTTACCAGTGCCGTGTGAGAGGTTTGTGATAGCTTCGGATGCGGCTCTTGAGAGCCCTCGTCAGGGGACGGGAGGTTTCCTGATGGTGTGGGCCGACGGCTTCGCCGAGCGACGGGAAGCTTTTGTAGCCGACATCCCACTTGAGCTTTACCAGTTGTGGACTCCGGGGGACCGGAAGATTGCCCAATTGGAGCTGTCCATGGTGTTGTACGCACTCCTCTGCCGACCGGATACATTCCGTAATCGGAGGGGAGTGTGGTACATCGATAACACCGCAGCCCTGATGTGTTTAATCCGTGGTAGATCCAGGGAGCCTGATCTGGAACGAATGTCCCACGTGATACACACAGTTTTGTTTGGGCTGAAAGTTTGGATGTATTGGGAGTGGATCCCTTCCAAATCCAACTGGTCTGATGCGATTTCTCGGTTAGGATGGCAGGACCCATGGGCCCGCCAAAATGATTTTTCAATGTCTACTGCTTTCTGTTTCCCCATCATGTGGAAGCTGCCATTTCGTGCCGTGCTCGCGGTGACGAGCTTTCTGTAGTGCTTTGGGAGTTGATGAAGTGCATTGGGGAACTTTTAAGGATGTTAGAGGCATCCCAACCGGAGTTGACCGGTGGCCCCCTCTAAGCACAGTCCATGCAGGAGATGCATGGAAATCCAAAGCATTATCCCTCAGGCGATGAGGGTTGTTACAGGCACGGGCAGTGCAGACTATGAATGATGAGAAGGGAAAAAGAATTGGGGTGCGTCGCAGCCTAGCAGTAGGAACGATACGTGACACATTGATGTATGCCATGTTTAGAGCTTGGCAGGCATTGGGTGAACATGTATCATCAATTGTTATGGGTCTGCCATTTTGGATCAAGACTGAGCCAAATTGGCAGACACCTTTTTGGTTTCCCCACCCAACCCACCCTAGTTGTCTGGCCTGGCGTCCAGTAGCCGACAACTTTGAAGGTCCCGATGGGACTGGGGTTTGCGCAAAGGCGCACTGTGCTGTTTCGAGGGGAGGGGAACTTTTAAGGATGTTAGAGGCATCCCAACCGGAGTTGACCGGTGGCCCCCTCTAAGCACAGTCCATGCAGGAGATGCATGGAAATCCAAAGCATTATCCCTCAGGCGATGAGGGTTGTTACAGGCACGGGCAGTGCAGACTATGAATGATGAGAAGGGAAAAAGAATTGGGGTGCGTCGCAGCCTAGCAGTAGGAACGATACGTGACACATTGATGTATATATATATATATTATATATATATTATTATATGTATACATATATACATACATACATATCACATTGGCCCTGCTGCGGTGTTTGTTCTCCTGGAGGTTCTGTGATCTTCAGAAACTCATACTCATCCAAGCTAAGGCTCTGGGTGGACAAACCTCTTCCCTCGCTCCAACAGCGGAGGCCGCCAGTTGTGCCCCTTGATGTTGCAATGAAGGAACACTTGTTCCACTGTGCTTGAACATCGTTTCCTTATTTTCTTTGTACCATCTTGCCCATGTTGCTGGTTGTCTTCATCCGTGTTTTGGTGCGCACGCATGTCCATTATAGGTCGTGCTGGCGTGAAGTTAGATCAGTGTAAGTTCGGTTTACCCGTGCCATTTTCACAAGGAGAAGGCTGTTGAAGCTCCATCGCTTTTAGCTGACTGTTTCCCCACCGCAGGAGGGCATTCGCGCCATTGCGGAGGCTGCGTTCGGTTTTTTTTGTCTTGCCGGTCGAACTCGTTGATTGGTCGAGAGCTTCGGCACGGATCTGAGGCCTCAGTGGATGCCACTTCGACTCTTTAGAGAAATCCATTTTTTGTGTGTGTTGTTTGTTGTTTTTTTGTGTTTGTTTTGCAAATTTTTGTTTTTTTGGATGATTGCTTTTGGTTGGTGGCCTCTTTGTCACCCAGTCTTCAAGGATGTTCAGCTGTGCAGCAGAAGGCAACAACAACTACTTTGAAGTCAACATCGAGGGTATTCACGTGTCTTGTGCTTATATATCTATTCAGTGGGCTGCGGCAATATGAGGCCTTGTCTTTCAACGCACTTCACTGCACATGCCGTTTGTGCAGAGTGTTGGGTTGTGGTTTTATTCTGGAGCATACATATGTAGCTCTGGGGGCCCTCATGATCGATTTGGGAGGCCTAAAAGCGGCCTTTTCATTCGAAGATCGGGTTCCTCTGATGCTTTCAACACACCTTATGGGCCACCCAACCACTGATTGGTGGTTTGGATTGGTGGTTTTGGGGATTTAAAAGGGTCCCTGGTTCTTCTGGAGGGCTCTCCTCACCACGCGGGATGGACATCGGATCGTTTGATCAGCCCCGTCCGCAGGTGGAGTTCAACAAAGTGGCCGAGCGCCTGCTGCAGGAGCGGTTTTTGTTGGGAGAAACAAAAGAAAGAAAGAAAGAACGACCGAAAGAAGTAGTTGGAAGAACCTGGCCTTTCATGCCAGCCATGATCACCGAAAATCCTGGAGTTTTCAGAGTGGAGTGCATCTGGCCAAAAGACTCCATTTGCTACTACCTGCTCTCTCTCTTTCCTTTCTTTCTTTCGCTTTTAGTTTCAGTCACTCAGTGGCCTTTTCATGGCTCTGTGTATTTTTCACATAGGCCCCCCGTGGAGACATGATTAACTCTGACAAGCAAAACCTGTTTGCTTATGACCACCAGCGAACTGAGCATGGCACGTTCTCCGTCTTATACAACCAATGCACCAGCATGGCATGTTCTCCGTCTTATACAACCAATGCAACATGCCCGTTTGGGGCTGGCTGTGGCTCGCATCCGGCATCGCATTTGCTGCATCGCCGTGCCACTACAAGCACCGCCAGTATTTTCCGGAACTCAGATACCACAACCAACGCCTCAAGGCAGCTCCTACAAACGGGTTTCTTTTGCTGCCCAGCATCCCCGTGTTCGTGCGCAAGGTAGTTGTTTTGTGCCCTCGGAAGGCTTGGGCACAGAACATTCGGATAACCCAGAAAGTGATATGAGGGGGTCCCCCGCTTTCCGGATCCAAGGTTCGGAACTGTGTCAAAAGATGGCAACAGGCATGGGAGCCTAGCACGGATTCATAATATACTTAGCATGCACTCCAAATGCTGCGTTCTGACAAAAGTGTTTCAGCACGTGTAGCGCATGGTTACTTCAAACGGGGCCTTCAACCGCGTAGCTCGATTCGCAGGCTGGGCTGCACGTGTCCCTGACGCAGCGCTTCAAGGCTGCGCGAGTGGAGAGGTCATGTTCGAAGAACTTGAAAGGGTTTCAGAAATCGTTTGGCGTTGGAAGCACAATGCCTGCCACACGAACTTGGATGCTCATTCCCCGGCCCCTTGATCTTATTGTGTTTGCTTGGGGTTTATGCAGTCGTTGGTTGAGCGGACGCTCACGATGTTGGCACTGTTCATGTAATGTGAAGGTTTCAACTCGGAAGTGCTCCCCCCTTCCTCCGCGAGCAGTGCCCAAACCGATTCAATAGCTGTTGGATTCATTTGTGCAGCTGGTTCTAACCTGGCTTCAAGCGGTTGCGAATGGACGAAATCCTGCACTTGATATGGATGAAGTTCTACTGGGACAAACCACCAATCCCAGCTGCCGATCGGCCTGGATCTTCTCCATCAAGGCCCACACAACTTCATATTATGCATTTCGGTCTGTCGTTTTTCATTTGGGTCTGTCGTTTTTCTTGAGTTGGTACCCCCCCTTGTTTGGTGGTTTTAAAGGAACCCCCCCCAAGGAAAACCGTTTTTTTTGGAGTCGGTACCCCTGTTCTTGTGGTTTCAATGGGAAACCAACAGGGACACCTCAATCTACCTGGGTCTGTCTTTTTTTGAGGGCACCCCCTTTTTTTAGTGGTTTCAATGGGAACCTTTCAAGGGAAACCCGCCCTTCCCGGGGCGTACCTCAAATCACCGGGCTCTTTCTGTCGCCAGGAGCGCGTGGTGCAGGAGGGCTTCGACCCCGCCTACGGCGCGCGACCGCTGCGCCGGGCCCGGCGCCCGAGGGGTTGAAACATGGGGGGGCCGGGGGAAGCGGGGAACTCGGCGAAGCTTGGGGCGGTACGAAGTGCATTTGGAGTGGCGATTTGGAGTGGTGGAAGTGGGGGGGGGTTGGAACCTCTGAGGTTTTTCTCACAAGTCAAGTAGGACAGAGTTCTGAATTGCAGAGGGTAAGATCGAATTGGGAGACCTGTAGGATTTTTCTTTGATTTGAACATCAGGTTCCTTTGCTGCTTTCAACGCACCTTATGCAAAAAACCCTAAGCGAGTTTTGCGGGTGACTTGGAGTGGTGGCTTGGGGGGTTGAACCTCTGGTTTCTTGTAGAGGGCAAATCAATTGGAAGCCTCCTAGCCTCCAAGCCCCCCCATTATATACCCTCACTCCCATGTTGCCATGGGACCCAGAGGGTCACAGGAGGAAATTCATCTCCCAGGTACCCTCCCACAGGTGCCATGTGGGAGGAAGGGTAAATGGCTGTGGCTCCAAAATGGAAACCCCAAAATGGCGCCTGGGCAACGAAAGACCAGAAGCCTGCGTAAGCCTTCTGTAATTTTGAGCCACGCCCAACTCGTAGACATATTTCCTTTTGGATTGGCCCACCAACATGTTCTGGAGTCTGCCAACATGGAACTTACCAGAAATTCGCGTTTTACGGGGCCGCCCGTTTGGTTCTCTGCATGATTCGGGAAGAGCTCCTGAAAACCAGGTTTGATGATTGCTCTCTTGTGATCAAGCACCTTGCTTGCGCATCCTGCACGTTTGCTGGGGACACAGATCGAATGATTGAACATTCCTTTCTATCATGATTTTTTTTTTTTTTGGGGGGGGGGAAGGTAGGCGCGGGACACAGTTTGCGGAGGCAGAGACCTAAATGAAATCCACCGAGAGCTGCATTGTCTCTCGAGACTTGCAGTGCGCTAAGCGAGATTAGAAACCTCTACCATTTGATCAAGACCAGAACATGTTCGGCCTTCAACGTTTGAAGGGGTGTAAAAGGGAACCCGTCCCTGTTGCTTTTTCCTCGAAACAATCCCAACCCGGCTCCCGGCTCCAAATACAAAAAAAAGACACACCCATACTGGGAGAAATGAGAGACATGCGGCAGTCTTTGCGCATTCTGGCCTGCAGAGTCGGCAGCTTCGTGTTCTTCACCTATAGCTCAAAACAAACCCTTTTTGGTGGCGCCTTGAAACCGGTCCAACGAAAAAAACACGATTTCCAGTCCGGGAGTCCCGAATTTGGCCGTCAGTTATTGCCGAGTTGAACAAACCGGACCTGTGCGGCCGATCTTCGGTTTCAGGCTCTCCATTGCGAATGGCCGGCGCATCTCTCTTGGGCCCGCAAACGCCCGCCAAGCTAGTGGGTTCTTATTCTCACCACTGAGGCGATCACGCGATGGCTGGAGGACTGCAATTGGGCCCGGCCTTGGGAGATGTTGCACGGCCTTCTGCGGCTCCTCGCGTCGGAGAGTTCTGGCTTTGGCCCGGCTTGAACCCAATAAGTGTGCAGTGATGATTCTCTCGTCTCATCGATTTGGAGTTCTATTGGCCAACCCCTATATTCCCTTCCCTAGACAAACGGGCTTTTTTCATAGCGGATTCCAGCTTGCACCGAAGGACAATCGTGCGTGTAGCATCCGCAAGGAACCCAGTTGTTACCCTTTGAAGTGGGTCACGTAACTTGGAACTCAAATCTTACCCATTTCTTAGAACCCATTTCTTAGAACCTACGGCGGCTGCTAAAACCGGGGTGTCAATCCCCGGTCCTCTCAAACCAGCCTCGCTTCTGTCGCTTTTCGCGCGGCCGTGCGCGCGCGCATTTCGCGCGAGGATTCCCTGGCGGAGCACCTGCTGGACCACGCGGCGAGTTTGACGCAGGAAGAGTTGGATAAAGAGTCCGCGGAGGCCCGGGCTGCCAAGGCCGCGGAGAAGCTTCGTATTGCAGGATGGATCTTGCTCTGCTCTTGGCTTCCTCGACCTCTTCCTTTGCCTGCTCCTTGGTCACCTTGTGTCTGCATGTGATGCTGGTCGTCATCGTCTTGATCTGTGGAATGCCGTCGCTTCTTTGTCTCTGTGGACTTCTCCGGATCAGTCATGTTGGCAGTGACATGCGCATGGAATCGCTGTGCAAATTCCTTGATGATGGATTCGCATTGCGCGACATCTTCCGGTTTGAGGTGCTTCTTCATGAACCAAATGTTGTTCTGGATGAGGTTGCCGTTTGCGTTGAAAGGGGGTGGGTAGGTTGGTAGGTAGGTAGGTAGGTTGGTTGGTTGGTTGGTTGGTTGGGTGGTTGGGTGGTTGGGTGGTTGGGTGGGTGGTTGGGTGGTTGGGTGGTTGGGTGGTTGGGTGGTTGGGTGGGTGGTTGGGTGGTTGGCTGGTTGGGTAGTTGGGTGGTTGGGTGGTTGGGTGGTTGGGTGGGTGGTTGGGTGGTTGGGTGGTTGGGTGGTTGGGTGGTTGGGTGGTTGGGTGGTTGGGTGGTTGGGTGGGTGGGTGGGTGGGTGGGTGCGTTGGTGGGTGCGTGGGTGCGTGGGTGCGTGGGTGCGTGGGTGCGTGGGTGCGTGGGTGCGTGGGTGCGTGGGTGCGTGGGTGCGTGGGTGCGTGCGTGCGTGGGTGCGTGCGTGCGTGCGTGGGTGGGTGGGTGGGTGGGTGGGTGGGTGGGTTGGTGGGTTGGTGGGTTGGTGGGTTGGTGGGTGTGGGTGTGGGTGTGAGTGTGGGGGGGTGTGGGGGGTTGGGGGGTTGGTGGGTTGGTTGCTTTGGGTTCGTTCGTTTGGTTGATGGGTTGGTTGGTTGAGTGGCAGGTGGGTTGGTTTGGTTTGGTTTGTTGGTTCGTGCGGTCGGTCGGTCGGTCGGTCAGTGGGTTGGTTGAGTGGGTGGGTGGGTGGGTGGGTGGGTGGGTGGGCGGGCTGGCGGGCTGGTGGGTTGGTGCATTTGCGGTAGGTTGGTTTGGTGTGGTTTGGTTTGGTGTGCTTTGGTTTGGTTTGGTTTGGTTGGTTCGTTCGGTTGGTTGGTTAAGTGGGTCGGTGGATGGGTAGGTTTGTGGATGGGCTGGCGGGCTGGCGGGTTGGTGGGTTGGTGGGTTGGTGGTTGGTTTGGTTTGGTTTGGTTTGGTTTGGTTTGGTTTAGTTGGTGGGTGGGTTGGATGGTTGGATGGGTAGTGGTTGGTTGGTTGGTTGGGTTTTGGTTGGTTTGTTCGTTCGGGCTGGGTGGGTTGGGTTGGTTGGTTGGCTGGTTAGGTTGGTTGGTTCGTTTGTCCGTTCGTTATTTAGGTTGACTGGTTGATTGGGTGGGTGGGCTGGGTGGGCTGGGTGGGCTGGGTGGGCTGGGTGGGCTGGGTGGGCTGGGTGGGCTGGGTGGGCTGGGTGGTTGGTTGGGTTGGTTGGGTCGTTCGTTTGTTCGGTCACTCAGCTGCGACAGGGTGAGGATGAGATCGAGAAGCGAGCACTTGTCGGATGCTTATTGCGTGGCAAGCATTTGGAAGCATGGTTTGGCAGAAAGCTTCAATTCCATACACTGGGTGCCAATGTGTCGTTGTTGGCATGACACATATGTCGCTTATTGCCATTCAGATTGGCAAGTTGTTTTTTGTTGTCCCTGTTGCGTTCACAAATACTAAATGTGCAAGAAATTCATTCTTTACAAGGAATGTGCTTAAGCATTTTTCGTGTCACTACTTTCGCCTTGCGGTTCATGGGCAGGGCCCCCTGTGGGTCTTTTCCCTTTCTTAAGTACTAGCTCCCGCACAGTTCCCCCGTTGACTCAAGAGGTGTTTAGTAATATTATGGTGGCTGTTTGGACAGCGGAAAGGGATTGCAATGGGTTCAAGTAAGAGGCAACGATGGGTTTGCAGGCTTCCTTCGCGTTCTATTGGCATATTGAACGGGAGTATAGCGCTGCTGTAGCCGAAGCCAAGAAGCATACGCTCTCACGTTTGAGCAGTGTGTCTGTGTGTATCAATGTTTTGTGCTTGCGGTTGAAGCCAATGTTTGCCAGTTTCATAGAACAGGCTGACACCTCTGATTGCCTCCAAGGGCACATTTGGCCTGTTTGGTCATTCGAAGACTTCATGAGACTGCTCAGGCGGAACTGGTTTCAGACAGCTCGCTGGTTGGTCATTGGAGTCACTTTGGCCTCAGCAGCAGCTTGTGACATCTGAGCAGTAGGAATGGCCTCCCCATCTGATGAAATCATCCTAACCTGGGATCTCT